AAAATCCATCGATCGCTAACGCCAGGAAGAACTAATCAGAATTCCAATCATTTCAAGAACAGACTAGAATCAAGATTTATTATATGCATTTTGCTTTGTGTACCAAATTAATTTTCATATTGAGTTCGTCACATAATGTATTGATCATTATGTTCAATTACTCACTGAACATGCAAGACATTATTACCGAAAGGAAGAAAAACAAAGGAAGACAATTAATTAATGACTTGGTAATCTTACGTATTGTCTTGTGCTCTTGAGATTTAATTTCTAAGCTTATATTTTATCCGTAATGTAAGAGTAAATATTATACATTTCTTTAATAATCGAGTTATCATAGCAAGCATCATTATCGTAATTAGAAAGCACATGTTTAATTTGAATTAATAGGGGCAAGACTGAGTTATAAGATAAAAAGACGAGGCTCGCCAACTAATTGTAGCTCAATCAAACCAAGTACGGAATATGTAAAGAGTTACCATTAAAATGTCATAGAACTGAAATTTAAATATAAATTAAAAAAAAAAGATACATTGCTATTAGAGAATATTTATATAATCGTATATGGTTTAATTAATTTTTTTTATGAATATTATTATTTATATTTGTTACTAAATTGTGGGATATTATGTGGGAGTAAAAGTCGAGGAAACTGACTAATCTTGGCAATTTTGCCATTTCTAAAAACAGTTAAATATGTATTGAAATTCTTAGTAATTCATATCATGAGTTTCATATTTCTATCGCCTAAAATTTCTAAGAACATGCTCGATACTTCTGTACCTCTATACTTGTATTAAACAAATCCAGCATCACATGCAAGTCATAAAAGCTTATCTACATCTTGAAATTGAATCAGAATTCTAATATTTAAATGAAAAAAATCTTATCGTACCAATCGGTTGCTGTAATATCTTACTAAAACATTCTGAATTAATATGTGTATTGGTGGGAGTGGACATTAAAAATCAGTCATTATTAGTCAGTAGATTATTTTATTAACATATAAAATATTTATAATTCCAGAATAAATTGTATTGTATTTTTACATTTTTACATTTTTACATTTTTACATTTTTACATTTTTACATTTTTACATTTTTACATTTTTACTAATTAATTCAGATTATTATGGCTTAATATCTAAATTTATGTTGCTTCATTTATTTTAATTACGAATTTATCTCTACTTGTATAAATTTCTAATTATTTTATATAAATCGACCATATTTCTTAATTTATGGCGCGTTTGCGGTATTTAATTACTATATCTTATCGATGATCGGAACATTATTGTAATATTCGACAAATCTCGGAAGAAATTTAATAAAATAATGTAAAATTTGAATTACCATTTGTTGTACAACGAATTTCATTAAACAATACAGAAATCGAATTACATAATGTAATAAATAATTTTGTATATTTGTTTCAAGATGATATGTCAAAGTCCTTTTTTTAATCCAAATCTACTAAGAAATGTACCACATTTTTAAATATTTGATTAAATAATAGGTAAGGTAGTGGGTGCGTTTTTGCATGTTTATGTAATGTAAAATAATGTTCGTTGAATTTATAATAATGATAATATAGACTTTTTCAACTATAGTGATTACTTCACTTTGAATCTGATTTATTTGAAAAGTAAAACCGTTTGTACATAGATATTAAAATGTTTGCGTTTTTTAAATGACTCAATATTTATTTTATTTAATGTATATGATGTAACATCGCCGATTTCTTAATAGAATTATACTATTTTTCATCATAAAACATCAATATGTGCGCATGAATTCTTTTCACTTTTTACCTAAGCAATGATCAAATAAGCCTTTTATTTCTCAATAATTTATACATTTTGTACATGCTCGAGTAACTTACTAAAGCAACATTAAAATCATAAGAATTTGAAAATCTATAAAATATTAGACAGTAGTACCCATATATCTAATTATAAATAAGGGAATTGAAATTTTATTCATTTATAAATATAAATTATAGCAAAATGTAAAATTAAATTGTAAATTTCTAGAATTATTTATAACGTAAATTTTATATATGTTTTTTTTATACTCATGGGTCGTCGTTGCATCACAGTTGTTGCATTCCATTATAAATAATGTAATCGATCCCTGAAATTCTCAAAAAATAGCACAGATACATTATTATCTCCTTCTATGTCCTTCTAATTGGATGTATCATCATGCATCATCAATGAAAGATAATAGAATTATAAAAAATCTTATTATACTTGTTTCATTATAATTATCATATTACGTTACATTATATAACTCTATGTTGTCACAAATACAATGGAATGAGATTAATTTGCATTTATAATATCTCTTGAATGTGATTAGAGTTTTATGATTTTATTTACGGCAAACTTGCATTTTCCTAGTGAAGGTAATACCGTCAATTTTCTACATTGTTTAGTGTTATATGCGTAGTGGCTTAACGAGGGCGTTTTCCACGACAGTGTCTGTTTTGCCTTATGTTGGGTAAAGGATGCCCAATAAACGTCCTTTTCCTTTTCTATATACTGTTCGTTAATTTGACAATTAAAATAAATTAAAATCTTATGGTATTGGCGATCGTTTATTGGATTGATTGCTTTATTTTTCATGCTGTAAATCTTAGATGAAAATCAATCGCTCAACTTCTTTGTAATTCCCGAGAAATCGTTTATATTCAATTGTCATTATTGATAATGCGATATTTGTTAATTGATTATTATATATATATATATATAATATAATAAAATAATTTTGTTTTATCAGCCTTCTATTTCTATATATAAATAATTTTTTCCATTTCTTATTTTCAAAACTTTTCAACTGTTGTCTTTTGTTTATATATATATATTGTTAATTTTTGAAAAATATTATGATTGAATGATTAATTACGTAATTGTTATTAGTACGTAAAAGTTCTTATAGGTCTTATATAGAGGAACGAGCAGTTGGTTTTACGTGAGTAATGAATGAACTCAATATGCCACTCCCGACCTTATCGAGGACTTGCATGAACTCGTGAAGATCGCTTATAATAGTGTTAGAGAGTGGGGACAGTAAACATATATTTACTTTAATTTTTTCATTTAAAACTCAGTGTATTTTTGTTTTTTATTTTTAATTGTTTTGTATTTATTATGAAATCCAATGAAAGATATTGGCAGTTTATAGTTTTATTAAGCTTGCATTGCTTTTATAATTATAATTCCCTCGGATTGTTCCACCGCCCATTCGTTCTGCAATTCTATTAGTATAATATTTAAGTAACAACGTTAATTTCATAAATGTCAACCATTCTTTTAATTGAAGGCTTAGTCTTAAAAAGTAGGGCATATTATAATTTTATCATTTGTTATACGTTAATGTAATTGCTCTTATACGTACCGTTTTACAAGCTCATGTTAGATATTTTCATTCGATTTAATAAACTCGTTGAAAAAAGTTGCAGAAACTAAAGATCAATCAGATGAACAAATTTTTAATAAAAAATTTCATATCTAAAAACGTGAAAAACATTTGTAAATATATTGTTTTAATAAAGGCTTAATTCAATTATAAAGGATGATAATCAAGATATGCGTTACATTATAGTAAAGAAAGAGGCTGAATCAATATGTAAAAATACGCATACACGGATATAACAACATTATAGTACTTGATGTAATTTTTAATAAATATTTTAAGCGCTTAAAAACTAATGCTTAAAAAACATGCAAATGATATTGAAAAATAATACTGTTGCGTATTTTTTATAAAATATGTTAACAAAATAATTTTCAAAAAAACTTTTTAAATATAATGCAGATACGTTGTATTAGAACGACGACTTGTACTAGCACTACCACCACCACTGTTACTAGTACTACTGTTACGACTGCTACGAATAATAATAACAATAATAATAATAATAATAACAATAATAATAATAATAATAACAATAATAATAATAATAATACAACAACAACAACAACAACAAACAACAACAACAACAACAACCACGACAATGAATAATAATAATAAAATGAGCATCAGTCGATGAGAATGGAATCTTTATTCAAGATCTTAAGATTAAGCCAGTGAACGGAACCGGGTGAAAACAGTAATTATCCCAGTGCTGAGGAAATTAGCGGCTTCTATCTAAATAGCTACAAGTATCTAAGAAAGTCCACCCCCGCTCCTAATATCCTTTCGTTGCGTAGATACGGTTGTTTTGCGTATACAGCGACCTTTCTTTGCACGCATGATTTACCTGCATAATATTTAATCAGGTTCGTTCGCTGCAGGACAGCGAGTGCTTTGCATTGGAAATTGTATTTGCTACAAATTACAATATCTCCAGGAAATGCATATATCAAGGGCATTCCTTACTACTACTAACAATAGATTTTGTAATTTCGCGCGCTTATTCGCTAATCATACTTCAGAAATGTTAATTCGTTATTACAAATTATAAGAGATTTTAGATTTTCGTTTTTCTTGAATTAGTCATTGCTATGTACATTTGAAGAATGGAAAAATAGCAAATTGGGAATGAGAAGTATGAATAAAAAAAAAAAAAGAAGAGCACTCCAAGGAATGTAGGATAGTCGTGGTTTATTTTGTACTTTATTTAGAAAAATTTTAAAACTGTATGATATAATTATTATGAGTCTTTGAAATGTAATTGTTAATTAAATTAGTCGATTTATGATTGATGCTTGTGAAGTTGTATCTTTAATTGAATAAATGAATTGTTTAATTTAAAGTTTAATTTAATTTAAAACATTAAGAAGGCTCTATTTTTTTGAGGTTAGAAAACAGTAATAAAATACTTCTTTTGCATTTAATGTTTTTATTGAAAGTATAAAAGTTATACACAGGAGGATGGTGAAGCAATAAATAATAATAGAACTATAATAATATATTGTTCAATTATATGGTAATGCATTGTAGTATATGCATATTTTAATGTAATCAAATCAAATAAAATCAAGTAAATTGTAAAAAATGAAGAAGCATAAAAGTAAGCAGAAAAAAACTAGTCGTGATAGGAAAGAACGACACTCCAAGAAGGGAAAACATAAGAAACAAAAACATAAACGTCGTTCTAAAGAATCATCGAGTAGCGATGGGGAGCAGTCTATGGCTGTGAAAAAAAAGTATATGCGTAATGATTCTGAAGATAGCATAGAACGAGAAAGAATAAAGGACTCCGATGCTATAGATAATAACAAATATAGGGATGATGTAGAAGAGAATATAATAAAAGATCATAGTAGAGATTTCGATTCATATAGCTATAACAAACAAACAATTGACAATTTAGCCAAAGACAAAGTAATTATGAATAAAAATAATGAAAACAGTTTAACTGAATTTGATAGAAATGCATCTATTAACATTTCTAAACCTGGCCCATCGAAACAAACTGTGGAACATCATTCGAGAAAACATGATAATAGAAAAGATAAAGATGATTCTGAAATTGATATCGATTTAGATTTTACGTATTTAAAGTATAAGCAAAGCTTAAATAAAGCTCTTTCAAGTTATAATTTAGTTCAGGATAATGAGGAGTTTTGGCTTTTTGTTAAAAAGTATGAATTGATGGAAAAGAAAGTCGGAAATACAAATAAAAATGTTACGCACAGTGTAAATTCAATTGGAATACCAGAATCTTATGATAAGTCTTACTGTTTTAATTTTTCCCTCGATTATCGTAGTAGAGAATTATTTACAAATGTTCAAACAACGAAAGAACTGACTACTGAAAGGCTTTATAAATTTAAAGATATTATTACAAGTTACATGGATTTTAAACACAAAGAGGTGTTTGAAAAGTTAAGAAAATTAAGAAGAGAGCAAGCAAACTTACCCGTCGCTCAATATAAGAATGAAATACTATATGCCGTGCACAATGAGAGAGTTGTTATCATTGCCGGGGACACTGGTTGTGGAAAATCAACGCAAGTACCTCAATATCTTTATAGAGGAGGATTTAATAAAATAGGTACAATTATAATTTTATAATTTTTAACATTTTAATAATGTCTATTGTAAAAGAACGTTTAAAACTTGCTCTTTATGTTTAGCATGTACTCAGCCCCGAAGAATAGCTTGTATATCTTTAGCCAAACGAGTTGCCTACGAAACTTTAACAGAAAATAAGAACGAAGTTGGTTATCAAATTAGATTTGAAAAACAAAAAGGTCAAGATACAAGAATAACTTTTATTACGGAAGGACTTCTTTTAAGACAAGTAAGGTTGCCTAGTTGTAAAATATGCTAATAAACTTAATATTGAACAAATTCACACCATAAAGAAGTTGTAAATCCTGCATTAATTAAAACTAATTTAATCATTAGGTCTCTGGAGAAGCAGAACTTTCTCAATATGACGTTATTGTTTTAGATGAGGTTCACGAAAGACACTTACACGGTGACTTTTTACTCGGTATTATGAAGTGTCTCATACATCAAAGAGCCGATTTAAAGTTAGTTTTAATGTCTGCTACAATTAACATTGAATTGTTCAGTAATTATTTTGCTAACGAAGATGTAAAGATAATTCAAGTAAATTAAATTTTATTTATTTTGACATTACAACAATTGCAAGTAATATTACAGAACTTTCTAACTACTTAGGTTCCTGGACGATTGTATCCTATTCAATTACATTATAGACCTGTACTTATTGAAGATAAATATTCCAAGTCTGAGAGATTTAATCCTAGTCCATATATTCAAATTATGCAAATAATTGATAAGGACTATCCACGTAAGAAAATTGTGATGATAATTTAAAAATAAAAAAAAAGAAACACGTCGTTACATTTTTCACAATGTTAGTTCCTTATATTATTTTCAGCTACTGAAAGAGGTGATTTACTCATTTTTTTAAGTGGAATGAGTGAAATCACAGCTGTTGTCGATGCTGCTAAAGAGTACGGTAAAAAAAACAACAATTGGATTGTTTTACCTTTACATAGTACACTTTCTATAGCAGATCAAGATAAAGTATTAATTTAATGTAGCAATTTTTTTGTCGATGTATAAATATCTATTTTACTTATACAATTTTTCTTTATTAGGTGTTTGGTTATACTCCTGATGGTGTGCGTAAGTGCATAGTATCAACAAACATTGCAGAAACATCGATTACTATAGATGGAATACGATTTGTAGTGGATAGTGGAAAAGTAAAGGAAATGAGTTATGATCCTATCTGTAAAATGCAAAAACTTAAAGAATTCTGGATAAGTAAAGCGAGTGCTGAGCAAAGGAAAGGGAGAGCTGGAAGAACTGGACCAGGAGTATGCTATAGGTATTTTTTAACATTTATAAACAATTTTTTCCATAATATTTTTTAATATTAAAGATATTTTTTTCTCAAGATACATTTTACCTCGCATTATTAAAATTAAACATTTTTTTAGACTTTACTCGAGTGACGATTATTCAGCTTTTGAAAAATACTCGACACCCGAGCTACAAAGAGTACCACTCGATTCATCCTTGCTCCAAATGATTGCAATGGGCTTACCAGATCCACGTAAATTTCCTTTTATCGAACCTCCGCCAGCAGAAAGCATTGAAAATTCTATATTATCATTGAAAGAGCATGTATGCTTAAAATTAAACTATTTTTTAAATAACTATATTTATTATTACTTTATTTGCATATTTAAGTAAATTATTTTTAATTAATTTTAGGGCGCTTTAGCAGAAAATGAAAAATTAACAAGCATTGGAAAAACTCTTGCAAGGCTTCCGGTTGATATAACAATTGGAAAAATGCTAATTATGGGTTCTCTGTTCCATCAGGTAGAACCGGTTCTATCGTTAGCTGCTGCCCTTAGCGTACAAAGTCCTTTCACTAATAGAGCTTACAGAGATCTTGATTGTGAAGTAAGTCTCAATTCAATTTATAGTATTTTTTTATAAGCTTGGTATTTGAATGTATATACTATGAGAGTACATAGGCAACATAAGTCAATAATAGATATAAATAGATGTAAATAAATACATTTGTACATTTGCAGAAATATATATATATATATATGATTCACATAAAATATTGTACATTTTAGGCATCGAGAAAGAATTTAGAGTCCGATCATGGAGAGCCAGTAACGTTACTAAATGCGTATAAAGAATGGCTTGAAATAAAGCACACAAATACTGAAGTACGCTCTGGTAGTAGTACTAGTAAAAAGTGGTGTAAAAGGAGAGGATTAGAGGAGCAGAGATTTTATGAGATGACGAAACTACGAACTCAATTTAAGGATTTACTAGAAGTAAGCTTTTATGCAACAATAATTTGCAACATTCTTTTCTAATATATTTTATATTATTTTAAGGATTGTAATTTACTGCATTCATCTGAAATTAATTCTGAAATGACAAGTTCTGAGCGAATTATGAGGTATGGAGAGATGAAACTACTTAGATCTCTAAAAAGATCTTATAAACAAACTGATTCTAAAAAGAGAAAGCAATTAAAATTAGACGATGATAATATACGAATAGAGGATGACAAAGAAGACGAGGAAATTGATATTAAAGATGTGGAATTTAGAATGAAAAATGATTTTTCTCAAGTTAGCAATTTAGTAACAGCTTCAACTGCTTGTAGTTATAAGGATTTGATGATGCTGAAACTTATTTTATGTAGTGGCTTATATCCTCAGTTTGCAATTTCAGATGAATTTAATTATTGCAAGGTAATTTAAATTATTATATTGTGTAATACATACTATATATATATGTATATATATATACATATATTATTAAATATAATAATATTATATATAATATAATATATATATATATATATATATATTATATTATATATAATATTATTATATTTAATAATATATGTATTAGACTGTGAGCGAACAGCTGTTTCATACCAAAGTCAAACCATTTGTTGCGCTACATCCAATGGGCTTTTTTGGAAATCATCCACAAGTGTTACAACTTGAAGAATCTGACATTGTATATATTCCAGGATATAAATCAAAAACTCCCATTAGTGCTAAACATCAGATATTAGCGTATTTGTAAAGTACACGTTTTTATTTTATTTACAAAAAATTATTTGTTTAATACACGTTTTTAAAAACTTTTTAATAGATCGCTATTGGAAACTACAAAACCATATTTAGTAAATACTCTAAGAGTGCCAGCTGCACAAACATTACTACTTTTTTCTCAAGAAATTGATACTAACTTGACATTTACAACGTGAGTATTATAAATTTTAATCTTTACAGTGCAATTTGATTATTAATCAAAAATAAAATATGCCTTAAAATATATATAATATATATATATATATATATATATATATATATATAATTCTTTCCTATTATAACAGTAAAAGTAAATTTCATCATGATTGAGTAATTTTATTTGGTATGATTAATATCTTCTAAAATCTTTAAATTTTAGACTTGTTTGTGACTCATGGATATCCTTGGATTTTCCAACACCTGACAGTGGTGCATTTCTTTTGTTTAAAGTTGCCAAACTGCGACAAAAGTGGGATCAGTTATTAAATTTACAACTTCAATGTAAATAAAAATACAATTACACACACATATGTATACATGTTCATAAGAATAATACAATTTACTTTTTAGATTGTTCATCCGAAGAGAAAAAAAAGGAAGATATTGACAATATTGAATATGAATTGAGTAGGGAGCTTGTCGATTATATGCATACATCACTACCATATACAATAAAAAGATTATTAACGGCAGATTTGAAAAATATATATGTGGGAAAGGAAGAGAACGTCACAATTTTACAACCGAATCCATTTTCAAGTGATTTTAAATGTGAACCGCACGAACGAAAAGGTGGTGTACGTGTTACAAAACAAATTACTTTTAATTGGTAAGGAACGCTTTATTATAACGATAATTGACATTTACTGTCAGTAATTACATCTCTGTATATTTATAATTTTTAACATTTATATATATATATATATATATATATATATATATATATATATAGCCTTGTAGAAAGCGAATGGAGTGATAGAATAGCTTATGAAATGATGGAAACCGAATGGAATTGTCAAATATGTGACTTCAAAGGCACTTATTCAGTGATTGAAAAGTTGCAACATATAAATAGTTGTAAAACAACAAGTGTCACGCAAGACAATGTAAAATCAATGTCGGTAAAATCAAAAAAGAAAAATGCCATTGCTTACGATTGTCCAGAGTGTGAAAAAACATTATATCTTACACCAACCGACGTCTTAAAACATAAGAAACAACATGAGATATAAATTATATAATAATATACTATTTTGTACTATGTAATAAATGTATTAAACTGTAAATATAATAAATAATTAAAGAATGCAGTGTAGTGTGTTATATTTGAATACATAATGAGTAAAATATTATTATTTTAATGTATTAAAATTAAAACGATGAGCGATCTTTTAATTTCAAAAATAAATTACTTTATTTTAAAATAATGTTTTTTTATACATTTACATACAAATGGTTTAATTTTTTTTTTTTTTATCGTGCAACACATAATGTAATTTTAAAGAGTAACAAAAATTAAATCATCCCTTGCAATCCTTACGTCCAAGGTAAAAAATTTGAAAACATAAAGCAACCGACTATAGTATATCCAAGAAAATATCCGAAAATTAGTTTTTCTATACACAAATATTGTTGTTGCGTGAAGAAAAATACTTTCCATTTCGATAATATATTCCTGTGATTTTCGTATTCAATTTCCTTACTGTCGTTCGACAATTTTGGCATTGTTTCCAAGGCGCAATACCAATATAATATGGGACTAGCAGAACATAAAAGTCGCGTACTTACTTGAATATGTACCATAAATATACTGAAAAGTGTTAAAAATAATCCATGCATTACAAAAACAAACATTTCTATTGGATAAACTTGATGATTTTTATCTTTTACCGTTTCACCAGTAAAAAATTCGAGCGTATAAAATTTTGATTTGTGTTCTTTAATGAAGCAAATACTGCACTTCATCATTAAATATAAAATGGGAAAGGCGAGACAAAAATTTGGAATTTGTCGTAACTGATAATATCTTAAAAAGCCAACGTTCCAATACTTTCGTTGCACATAGGAATATGCTATTGGCATTTTAAACAAACACCATGGAAATTCTTGTTTCCCAAGTAACAAGAGATTATTGTTCTGAGCATATTGTTTCACATGCAAGGGAAACGACGAATTGTAATTTAACTTACAAAATTCCGTATAATTATAGATTTGTAAAAAGCAAAATGGTAATAAAGATAAAATTATTACACTAATTATTTGCGAGACGCTTATAAATATATGCCTAAAGTTAAATAATAAAGACTTTTTATTAGAATGATAAAGCTGATTTTCCGATATATAGTTTGGAATAGTATTTGTGAACAAATTTCTTAACCAAGTATAGATTGGAAATCCAATATTGATTAAGCCATTGGATCGTACAAGAGTGGAAAGACCCAATGATATGAAAACACAGGGATTATTGCTTGTACTTTCTAGCATACTATAAAATGTTAAGTACGCAAACATCGATTCCGTGTAAAGAGCAGTAAAAAAAATACTGGCCGGATTTATGCAGAAAAGTATGGCTGCTCTGTAGGCTACATTGGTATTTTTAAAAACTACTTCGGTGAGATCATAAAGAATGAGCGTTGCTTTAACGAAGCATATAAAGTTAATTACAAAACCTATTATCACAATAATATTACTATAGCTAAGAATTAACGAACCTATATTATTAAGCACCACGGTGATATATTTCAGTGATAATGGAAATAATGGGAAAAAAGCAAGTGTATTCTCGTACGTGTATCCATATTTTGCAATGTGTATGTAATATTGTGCGTCCCATCTTGTCAATCCTCCAAGAAGAAATTCAATTGTACCATCTAATAACAAATATTTTTCATTTGGGTCAGATGGTGTTTTGAAAGCATCGGCATAATGATCCGAGCAGATTGCATTAAATACTACTTGCAATAAAAAAACCGAAATCCGAGAATTTATTGCAAACCAATAAACTTTCTGCCTTGCTGTGTACATGTTTTAGATTTCTCATTACAATCGTTTATCTGAAAATTTCTTAAACATTGTTCGTATAAGTAATCTAAATAAATGATGCTTGTAATTTGTGATTTAATAATAAAATATTGGTACCTTTAGGTGAAGTTATCTATCCTAAATATATTATTTTTTTTTTTTTTTTTTATTTTTTTTTATTTTTTAATTAATCCATCTGTAAGAAAATAGATAGTTTATTATTACATACATTGAGTTTCATTAAATTTAATAGGCAGATATAGAAGACAGCACATGTAACAAAATAAAATATATAATTTTATTACTACATTAAATATATATTTAAATTAAATAGAAAAACTCATAAAGTTACTCTATACGACATATATTTCTCAATTAAAATAAAAAAATTAATAAATAAATAGAAGAAAGAAAAAAAAAAAAAAAAAAAAAAAAAAAAAAAAAAAAAAAAAAAAAAAAAAAAGGAATAAAAAAACGAATGGGAAGATCGAGTAAATAATGAAATAAATAAAATTTATTTTAACCAAAATTATTTAGAATTAAATTCAGTTACGATAATATAACACGTATATTGTTATTGATTTAACATTAATTTCTTTTCTAGAAGATTATATATATGAGCTCGTTTTTCATTCAAATTTTATAAATTAAAGTTACGCAAGAGTATGATGACAAAATTAAAATATATAGAAAATTACATATATATAAAATTCAAAGTAAAGCTAAAATAAAACATGAAATTTTTAAAATTTGTAAATTGTTTAATGATGGATCAACATAATTCATTAAGGTAAAACAACAAATTCGAAATATTGACAAATGCTAATTACAACTTTTTATATAAAAATTTATCTTATTTATATTTATTTATAATAAGAATCATCATAATTTTTCACGTAAAATTGAAGATTAAAATTTATGTGTAGAATTTTTAAATTATAGTTTTATCATTATGATGAAATGATTATTATATAAAGTAATTGATAGGCGAACGTATTTACAATATGAAGTTGTATTTAATAATTGTAAATGTCATAATTAAATATTCATAATATACTTTTTATTTTTAATACAAAATATTTTATAATACTATAAATTAATTTTGCTTTAGTTTAACATAGTTCAGTTTTGGATTTGCAGACTTTTCATGATAAACACTATAGTTTCTTTTAGTGTAGAATCTCTAGTCTTTTTTCAATATAAGGCATAATGATAACAATACTGATTTATTTTACAACTAGCTAAACAACAACTGGGCCTTGTATTATTATTGTTGCAATAATTTCAATATTAATACAACATCTTGGCCAAAGAGACTCGATAGCCATTTAATCATGTTTTTTCTATAGATTGAAAAACACAGTGCTTAGTCCAAGGATCTTGATGATCTTAATTCTATAATTTATGCCTCAATATATTATAAATGAATTAGTTTCTAATTTATCACAGTTATGTATTTTCAAGCGTCTGTACTGTTTGGGGTAAATTTTTCAATACAAGCAATCATTTCGTGTACAATTATACTCAATTTTTTCAGAATAAGGAATAGGTACATCAAATACCTGTATATCTTATAACTGGTAAATTATACATTATTCTTGTGACAATTTCTACACCATTGCTACGACTTGATTATTTATTTAGATCTTTTTTATCTAAAGGTCTTTTTAAATGGCAGACTGATTCAAATGCTTAAAATATATCTTAAATTAATATCTTCTACCTAAACACTTCAAAAGTAAATTGGATTCAATTTATCTACCGTTAAATACTGGTACCGCACACTTTTTTGGCAAATTCCACGATGTGTGTTTCTTTTGGCGTACAGTCGTGTTCAATTTTTTCCGAATAAGGCATAGGCACATCGACACCCGTGCATCTTACAGCTGGTGCATCTAATTGAAAGAATACTGGATTTTCCATTATTGTCGCAACAATTTCGGCGCCGACACCACATCTTGGCCATCCAAGTTCAACCGTCATTAATTTATGTGTTTTTTCTATGGATTTGAAGACGGTGTCCCAGTCTAAAGGTCTCAGCGACCTTAAATTAATGACTTCTGCCTCGATACCTTCGCCAGCGAGCATCTCAGCTGCCTTGATGGTATATAAAGTAGCCTGACCGTGACTTATTAAAGTGATGTGTTTACCAGTTTTTTCTATTTTTGCTTTCCCTATGGGAATAGTAAAATTGGCATCCAGCGCTTCATTCGTTAATGGAAATTTCACGTTGTACAATAATTCACTCTCTAAAATAACAACCGGATCTGGATCCCTTACGGCTGCTTTAAGGCTTCCTCTATAATCTTCGCATGTACAAGGTGACATTACTTTCAAACCAGGAACATGCATATACCATGCGGCGAAACATTGAGAATGCTGAGCAGCGAGACCCTTACCGTTGCCATTAGGTCCACGAAAGACAATTGGAACGGAGTAGCGTCCTGCCGACATGTACAGAGACTTGGCCGCGCCATTAACAACTCGATCGATAGCTTGCATCGAGAAATTATAAGTCATAAATTCGCATATAGGCTTCAGTCCTCCTAAAGCGGCTCCAATTGCTATTCCACAAAATCCTGCTTCCGTAATAGGTGTGTCTATAAGTCTTTTGTCCCCGTACTTTTTCCACAGGCCTTTTGTCACTTTATAAGCACCATCGTATTGGGCTACTTCTTCTCCCATAATAAACACTTTTTCATCTTTGGCTAATTCCTCGTCTAAAGCTAAATTCAATGCGTCTCGCACTGTCATTGTCGTTTCTGATCTATATAAGTTTTTTTGATAATGAAAACAGTGCACGAATAATCGAGACTTCAAATATCTTTGAATTGGATGCATGTTAAAATAGAGTTATTGAATTTTTGTTTGATAAAACAGACAATATTTTGTGTATCCATTCAATAAAACAAATGAAATTAATAATAAATGAACTACTACGTGCAATAAATATATTATTTGGCAATTTAACTACATAATTTTATTTCAATAAAAGAAAATTACCACGAGATTATATAAGTTAATATTGCTTATTGTAAGAGAATTTTGTTTACACGAGTTAAACAAACACGAGCCAAACGTCCCGATGATTTGCACGCATTCGTATACGCGGCACGACGAATTGCGCATTAAAATATACTTACATAAGATAATAAAAAAATCAACCCAACGCCACATCATTGATTTATTTCAATACAATTTACAAACGCAATAAAAGCAGTCGATGCACTTTATTCAAAATCGGCTGTATCAATGGCTAAACACCATCAATGCTAAACAACTGCAATGGCTCTTCCTTACCAATCGAGTTTAGACGATAACGAAACATCCAATGCTCAATTAAATATATGCAATTGTTCTCTCGCGATGTATATATCTCGACGAAAAGTATAGTAGTACTCTTCTTAAATACATGAACGAGCTGGTGAAATTTAACGAGTCTCTACGCTTATTTATCGTCAAGCACAATCGTGGAGCTTTCCGATGAAATTTGCACGTACGTAGCGAAGTAGCGAATTGTTTTTCGCTGAAACTGTTAGCTCGATGCGGCACTCTCCTTGGAAATCCTAAGTAACGTTTGTTTTACGTTCATAAAGCCTTTGTGATTATTTTTCCATTACTTTTTTATTTTTTTATTTTTTTTATTTTTATTATTATTATTATCATTATTTTTTTTTTTAACCTAAGCCATTGCGAGGAGACGGAATCAAATGCCCAGCTAAGATAATTAAAAATGCAAAGCAGAAGGTATTTTTGATTTGCGTTACCTCGCTGGATTAAATGTAACGAATACTAGTGATACTTCATACTTCGATTACTTTCCCTTCAAAATGTCATCCGAAGGCCGAACGGCAAGTGAGCCAATTTCTTCAGTATTGTTGTACAACCTAAGATTAAGTATTCATGAGAACGAGGAGGCAGCTCGCGAGGCCGAAGCTGAAAATGCCGAAGCTTTCATTGATTCGCCACAAAATATGCAACCACCAGGTAACATTATGTTAAATCAAGTCAGAAGAGCTCTGACATTTGTATGCGACGAAGAGCAAGCATCTACAAGTGCCCGTAACGATGAACCATCTACCTCCAATTGTGATAAGTAAGTGGCATTACATTTGTACCTCTGTGCCTGGAAAGTTAATATTCATTCGTCAAATATATAACAATGCTAATAATAATTAATGTTAGTCGTACGTTAGTTACACAAATTTAGATTATGTATTTGAAAGTTGCAATGAATTTTTACAAAATATTATTCTCTATTCTTTGTTAATTGGTATTATTATTTAGTATATTTTAGAGAGCGGTTAATAAGTATCTTGGACTGTACTTTAAGAAAATTTAAGAAATTTGGATTAGAAATTTTTATTTAATATTCTACTATTAATACTCATAATACTCTTTGTACTTTCTATTAATATCATGGATATGAATTATAATCGGTCAACCTTGACTTTGCCAAAGTTTTACACAAACAATACAATACAAAAAAAACAAAAACAATAAGAAGAACAATAGAATATGAAGGAATGATTATTTTTCATAAAGAAATTTGTTTAAATTTTTTCCGCTTTTTAGTCAGTTAATCGTAAGCTTGTATAAATAAAATAATCAATTAAGAAATTAAGCATATGGTTAGTTCAGTCGTTTTAAGAAAGACTTTTTAAGAATACCACGATAACAATAATCTACAAATATAACTTTTTTTTCTCATGAAATAATATTAATGATAGTGTGGAATTAAAGGGGCTATGAATAATGTAGTAATAAATTGGTAAAAAAAAGTATCTTGAATTTTAATGTATCGATAGACGGATGAGATAATAGCGATGGTTTATCGTTGGATAATATTGGTTATTGGAACAAAGGTCAAATCGAAATTCCTGTTTCGTCTCTTGCGATAACTGGTATTAAAGATACCAATATTCTAGGTATTTTGCTAAACTATTAATATTTTTTATTTTTATATTTAAATTACATTATTTTACACCTTAATGAAAATGTACTCATAAATTCTCATTATATTTGATTTGAATTATTTTAATAACATAGATTTTTAAAAAGTTAATACTATTCATATTGCCATAGCATAAAAATCTGATAAAAATATTTTAATATAAGCATTGAAAGATTAGCAGGACGTCTACGAGACTGTCAACGAATGTATTTAATGTCAATATTGTTTCGTTTAAATTTACAGTAGGCCACCGAGTAACTCAGCAAATGTTTTAAGACCAGAAGCAAGGGCGCGCACTAGCATTCCATTAGAGAATGGGCAATCGAATTTTCCACCATCATCCGTATACAATTGGCAAGGAACCAAGGCAACTATGCGTGAAAGATTCACATTCCTCTTCAACAATGAAATTCTGTCTGATGTGAAGTTCAGAGTTGGAAGGGGTACACAGCAATGCGTAATTCCAGCTCACAAACTAGTCTTATCTTCTGGCAGTGCTGTATTTGACGCTATGTTCAATGGCACATTAGCGACCTCGTCCAATGAAATCGAAGTACCTGATGTAGAGTCAGAAACATTTTTGGCTATGCTTTTGTTTCTTTATACCGATGAGATATCAATCAATCCGGACACAGTAATGGCAACGTTGTACACAGCAAAAAAATATGCAGTATCTTCACTAGAGAAACACTGCGTCGATTATTTAAAGAGTAATTTAACAACGGACAATGCATGTTTGCTCCTTGCACAGGCTCGATTGTTCGACGAGCCTCAATTGGCTGCTATTTGTCTTGATACGATCGATAAATTTACTACTAATGCATTAAGCGCCGATGGATTCACCGACATTGATATAGATACGTTAATCACTGTGTTGCAACGAGACACATTACGTGTTAGAGAGTCAAAAATCTTTCAAGCCGTTGTCAGGTAAAACTTATTAGCAATCAATAAATTTGTAACACATAATTTTATATTATTTTATTCTATGTCAGTGTATTGTTGCGAAATTCATTAAAAGTACCTATTTGAATTGAGAAAGCTACAAGGATTTATTAAAAAAATGTAAATTTATTGTTTCAAACATATTACAAAAATTATAAAAGGAAGAGACCTTTAACACTTCTTCTACAGGCTTCTACAATCTATTAATTTTATATTTATCATTAATATGTTATTCTATATTTTAAAATATGTTTGTAGGTGGTCAGAAGCCGAGTGCATCAGGCAGCAGCTACCAGTAACATCGGACAACCAGAGGTCTGTTTTAGGCAGAGCTATTTCACTGGTTCGCTTTCCACTGATGTCGATGGAAGAGTTTGCCATTGGTCCAGCACAGTGTGGACTATTAACTGACAGAGAAGTGCTGACCAATGCTTTCGCTATAATTACTTTTACGTAAAGGCTTGATTTAATCTTTCAATATTTGTATACGATTAACAGGTCGTTTCGATATTCTTGTATTTCACATTAAATCCGAAGCCTCAGGTTGGATTTGAAGCTATGCCTCGGTGTCTTATGATGGGTAAAGAGCGAACTGTCTGTCGTTTCCAACAAACTGAAAATCGATGGGGTTACAATGGTACTAGTGATCGAATTCGGTAATGTTTAATTAACAATCTTATTTGCAATTATTTTACAATTTTTATTCTAAATACTGCAATAATTACTAAATGTAACATTATCATTAAATATATTGCAGTACAATATTAATATTTTTATTGTAATAGTTATTCGCATAATATATATATATATATATGTATTTTTTTTTTTTTTTTTTTTTTTTTTTTTTTATTAAACAATTTATTTGTATAATATAGCTAATGATAAATAATTTCAGCTTTAATGTGGATGAGAAAATATTTTTAGTGGGATATGGAGTTTACGGTTGTGTATTTGGGCCAGCAGAATACGATGTTGTAATTGAATTAATTCATACCGCTTCCGGAAAAATAATTGCTAAAAATTCAACCAGCTTTAGTTGCGATGGATCCAATTATACTTATCGTTTGATATTTAAGGAGCCGGTAGAAATTTTACCAAACACTATGTATACAGCTTCTGCTACATTTCAAGTTCGTATATTCCTTCTATAGACCTTCTTTAATTCTTTATTGGAATAATCTGTTGAAAGTTACGTATTATTATGAATATTGCAGGGCCCAGATTCTCATTACGGATCAAAAGGGTTGAGAAGAGTTACGGTGGATTGTGGAGCTAAACATGGAAAAGTGAAGTTTTTGTTTAATTATGAAGCTGGTGAAAATAACGGGACGTCGATCGAAGGAGGACAAATTCCTGAACTCATTTTCTATACATAAACGTTTAACTTCGATTGCAAGCTTATTTCGTTCAAATATTTTTGTGGATTGTCAAACAGTCGAATAGTCGATATGTACCACAAATTGTACATTAATCTTTAATTGTCAAAATGTATACCATAATGTGATATTCCAAATATTATTATAAATTATTAATATAAACTTAGTTAAAAAAAAAATAAATAAATAAAAAAGATAAATAAAAAAAAAAATAAAGGAAAAAAATTTTAAAAAATAAAAAAATAAATAAAACTAACAAGGATTTTAAAATTATGATACTGCATTATGTTTTTTAATGTTCTATATTTTTCTTATAATTTGGTTTATTTTAGAAATCATTAAAGTGCATCGTGGTCACGTTAAACAATAAACTATTTTCTTGACATTTATATACAAAGTTTACATAATAGTACAGAAATGGAAAATAATAATGTAATAAAATGAATAGAATTTTGTACAGGGAATTAATTATTTATATAAGTCGATGATAAAAGTTGATAAAATTGTTATTATACATTTACTCGCATCACTGAGTATAAATAACTATGGACAGATTTATGTTTCCAGAGAGCAAAAATTCAACGAATAAGTTTCACAATCGCTGATTTACAAAATCAAAATTTCATTCATCACGAAAAAATTATCAATTATATTTATTAAATAGATAATAAAAATATAAGAATTATACGAACATAAGGTTAATTAGTTGTTATTTTAATTTTTTTTTTAATGTTTTTTTTTTTTTTTTTTTTTTTTTTTTTTTTGTTTTTTTTTTGTGTAAAGAATGATTTGCTTCGCTTAGCGACTAAAAATTAAGTATTTTATTAGAATAAAAAGATTAACTCAGGAACATAAATTAATTTATCAGGATAAAATTATTTATAAATTAAATATCAGATGCATGCATGTAAAAGAATTATTTCTATACTAAATTTATATATATATATATATATAAGTTACACATATTACATATTGATAATATGTGCTCTGCGTAGAAAATTATAACAAAATATCTTTAATTTATAACTTATAATCTTTCCTGTATTTATTGCTTGCTTAGAAATTAAAAAAAAAAAAAAAAAAAGAAAAAAAAGATGTATAAATGTGATTAAAATATAAGTAAATAGAATGTCTATACCTTTACTTGTCGATGTAGCAAAGCAGAAAAATGGAAAATACAGTAGTCCTCATGCATTTTACATGAGTTCTAAATAATATAAGTAAAGATAATAACAATAATAATGATAATGATAATAATAATGATAATAATAATAATGATAATAATAATAATAGTAATAATAATAGGAAAAGAGTAAAGTGCAAGATAGTTCAAAGGATTACATGTCAAATCAATTCATATTATTTTTTTTCTCTTTTTTTTTATGTTTCGTTAAAGTTCTATAATTATACTCGCTACATTAAATACGTATTGCGGTACATGGATTCTATACTTTCCTTCACTTAATCCGTAGATTAGCAAAAATAAAAAAGTTTCGCGTCTTATGAATATTTATTTGTTTCATTCGAAAATAAAGTTAATTCATTTTGGTGCATGGAGAAATTTTCTCTTCCGCTATTGCAAAAACTATTATCTCCTTAGTATATATTTTTTGTATTTAAAATATAAGACTAGTATTTGAGATTTACAAAATTAGCATATTAAAAACTATATATTAGATTGTCTATACATAGAAAAAAAAAAAAAAAAAAAAAAAAAAAAAAAATGACTTTAAAAGAAATATGTTAAATAATTTGTTTTTAATTTCAATATTGTAAGAACTTGATAAGGACTACGAATTGTGACTACAAGGCATGCATCGAGAGAAATATTCATTTAATGAAGTAAAATGATTTCGTGTATATGCGTGTGCGTTAGTGCGCGCGTGTATAGGTGCGTATCATTTAAATATTTAATTAATTCAAATAAAATTTGGTTATATTTATTAAAAAGTAGCTTATCATTATACATGGATTATTTTGTTAATCAAATACAATCAATTATAAATACATGTATAGCAAGTGAAAAAATGTATTGAACCGTATTGAAACTTCATCTAATAATGGTCTTATTCATAAATAAGAGATGATTATGTTATAATGATGAAACAAAAAGAACATTCAAAGCTTACTTTGTACGAGGTAATAACATTTCTGGTACTCGAGCAAGTTAATAAATTCGTTGAAATGAAACGAATCTTCATCTCTCGGTGTACCATATTTTTACATACGTAAAGCATCGGTAAATGCAACGACGAATTTCCTCCAAGCACCAAAAAGTACACGACGATAAGCGAATAATCTACGCCAATGCGTGGAAAAACTCATTAACATATGCTCTTTCGTTTTCTTAACAATAATCATACAATACAAAAACTTGTCTAAAAATTATTATAAATAAACGCATTTTTTCAATTACGTACAAATGGTAGCAAACACTGGCCGCATACAAAACATAGAGAGAAAAAGTTATATATATATACACACACACACACACACACACACACACACACACACACATATATATATATATATATATATATATATATATACACACATGTGCGTATACATATAAATATACGTATACATATACATATATACGGGTGTGCGTACGCACACACGCCCTCATACACGACACACATGTACGCGCGCGCGTACTCGCACACGTGCGCATATCAATACATCCCATATATGCATGCGCGCATACGTGTGCGCATGCACATACATGTGCGTACGCAAACACACACATTCACAAACATATATATATATATATATATATATATATATATATAATGTATAAATGCATAGATATCGTAAGGCAACGGATACGCCGTATAATAATTATAATAATAAAACAATTTCACTAGATAATGCATTCACGCAAAAAGAAACATCTCCATATCCGTCCATCCTCATTAAAAGAGTTTAAACAAACAAACAAAAAAAAAAAACAAAACAAAAAAAAAAAAAAATAAAAAATAAAAAATATAAAAAAAACATAGTTAATAGACAAAATGAGAGTTCGTGACCCGCGCATTTATTATCGTAATATAATTTAAACGTGAAGTAAGACTGTGGTAATAGCTGCTTGGCATCATTTCGCTCATCTCGTGTCGTCACACCTCCGCGCTGGAGTTTGC